TGACATTTATTCTATTTTCTCTCTCTCTCTTCACCCTGTCCCTCCTCAAAAGTGTTTTGCTTCTGACTTACCCCTCCCCAATCTGCCCTCGCTTCTATCAACCCCTCTTATCCCCTTCCCCTCCTACTTTCCTGCAGGGTAAGATAGATTTCTGTACCCAATTGAGTGTGTATGTTAATTCCCTCTCTGAGCCAATTCTGATGAGAGTAAGATTCATTCACTTCCCCTCCCCCTCCCCCCTCCCCTCCACAGTAAAAGCTTTTTTTTGCTTCTTTTATGTGAGATAATTTATCCCATTCCACCTCTCCCTTTCCCTTTCTCCCAGTACATTTCTCTCTCACCCATTAATTTTTTTAATATCCTCCCTTCATATTCAATTCATACCTGTGCCCTCTGTCCATATACACTCCTAACTCCCTTAATAATGAGAAAGTTCTTATAAGTTACAAGTATCATCACAAGTATCATCTTCCCATGTAGGAATGTAAACAGTTTAACCTTATTAAGTCTCTTATGATTTCCCTTTCTTGTTTCCCTTTTTATGCTTCTCTTGAGTTTTGTACTTAAAAGTCAAATTTTCTATTCAGCTCTGGTCTTTTCATCAAGGTTTGAAAGTCCTCTATTTCATTGAATATCCATTTTTCCCCTGAAGGATTATACTCAGTTTTACTGGGGAGGTGATTCTTGGTTGTAATCCTAGCTCCTTTGTCTTTCAGAATATCATATTCCAAGCCCTCTGATCCTTTAATGTACAGAAACTGCTAAACTTTGCATTATCCTGACTGTGGCTCTACCATACTTGAATTGTTTCTTTCTGATTGCTTGTCTATTTTTTCCTTGACCTGGAAGCTCTAGAACTTGGCTATAATATTATTAGGAGTTATCATCTGAGATCTCTTTCAAGAGATGATGAGTGGATTTTTATCAATTTTTATTTTACCTTCTAGTTGTAGAATACCAGGGCATTTTTCCGTAACAATTTCTTGAAAGATGATGTCTAGGCTTTTTTTTTTTTTATCATGGCTTTCGTGTAGTCCAACAATTTTAAAATTATCTCTCCTAGGGGCAGCTAGGTGGTGCAGTGGATAGAGCAGCGGCCCGGGAGTCAGGAGGGCTTGAGTTCAAATCCAGCCTCAGACACTTGACACTCACTAGCTGTGTGAACCTGGGCAAATCACTTAACCCCATTGCCTACCCCCCAAAAATTATCTCTCTTGGATCTATTTTCCAGGTCAGTTGTTTTTCCAATGAGATATTTCACATTGTTTTCTACTTTTCATTCCTTTGGTTTTATTTTATTGTTTCTTGATTTTTCATAAAGTCATTAGCTTCCATTTGCTCAATTCTAATTTTTAAGTAATTATTTTCTTCACTGAGTTTTTGTACCTCCTTTTCCATTTCACCAATCCTGCTTTTTAAGGCATTCTTCTCTTCATTGGCCTTTTGGACCTCATTTCACCTAGTCCAGGGGTGGGGAACTTGTAGCCTCAGGGCCACAATGTGTAGCCTTCTAGATCCTTGGGTGCAGCGACTAAGTACAAGTTTTGCAGAACAAATCCTTTTATTAAGGGGATTTGCTCTGTGAAGTTTGGATTGAGTCACAGGGCTGCACTTGAGGACCTAGAGGGCCACATGTGGCCTTACGGCCACAGGTTCCCCACCCCTGCCTAATCTGATTTTAAGGGGTTATTTTCTTCAGTATTTTTTTTGTCTCCTTTACCAAAATGTTGACTTGTTTTTCATTATTTTTTTGCATCACCCTTATTTCTCTTCTCAGTTTTTCCTCTATCTCTCTTACTTGATTTTCAAAATTTTTTTTGAGCTCTTCCATGACCTGAGCCCAATACACATTTTTCTTGGAGGCTTCGCTTTGATCTTTCTTGTGTGTTTTGATCTTTCTTGTCACCATAGTAACTTCCTGTGGTCAGAATTTTTTTTCTGTTATTTGCTCATTTTCCCAGCCTATTACTTGACTTTTAGCTGTTTGTTAAAGTAGGGCTGTGCTTCCAGAAGGGAGAGTTCACTGTCCCAACCTTCAGGGGTTTTGTGTAGATGTTTTCAGAGATACTTCTAGGGATCTGTATTCTTCCAAGGGGATATGACCTAAGGAGAGGTGTTTACTACTCTCCTAGACTGTGCTCTGGTCTGTGAGTGACCACAGGCACTCTTTTCTACCCTGGAACTGTGACGAGGGTCCCTCCCTCCACTGTGACCACAAGCTCTGGTGTGCTAGTGCTCCTCCTCGCCCTGGGACTGCCACCCAGGACTTCGACCTGGATCTTCTGTGGGCTGAGAGCTCCAGAAGCAGTTGCCACCACTGCTGAAGATTCAGTGGCTCTCAACGCCTGCTCCTAGTTTGCTGGGGCTAGGCCTGTGCTGGGGCAGCCTGTGCTGGACCATGCTTCACTCTCACCCTTGTGCTACAGACCTTTCTGGATGCCCTTCTAAGTTGTTTTTGGTGTCTGTGGGCTGAGAGGTCTGGAAGCCCACTGCTGCCACTGATTTCGTCACCCTGAGACCTGCTTCAGGTTTGGTGGGGCCAGGTCTGGGCTGGACAGGCCTGAGCTGGACTGCGCCTTCTCTCTCACTCTGGTGCAACAGACCTTTCCTGCTCACCCTCTAAGTTGTCTTGGGCTAGAAAATTGTTTCACTCCATTTTTTTTTGTGGGTTCGGCTGCTCTAAAATTTGTTTAGAGTCATTATTTAAAGCGATTTGGAGGGGTATGGGGGAAAGTTCAGGTGAGTCCCTGCTTTAATTCCACCATCTTCCCACACCTGTCATTTCCCTTTTCTTTGCCTTTGCATGGGCTCTCTGTTCTTACTTCTTTCTCTTAGAATTTTTAATTTCCTTCTAAGGCTCTGGTCAGGTGCCAGCTTCTGCCTTTGCCGATCCTCTCGGCATTCATGTTCTCTTCTGTCTTAAATTACTGTGTATTTACTTAGAAGATCATAGATCTTAACTGGAGCTGAAAGAGACCCCAGAGGTCCTCTATCCTGAGGTATCAAACTCCCAGCTTGCCTGCCTGCTGGTAAAGCTACCAGGTGCCGCAAGAATCAGATGAGAATATATCTGGGAAGGGTTTAACAAAACAAATAAAAATACAATGCAACCTAACTAATGTTACTTTGCATTTTTTTAAGCCAAAATGAGGCTACATGAGGAATCCATTTCTATTTGACTTTGACACCACGGATCTGTTCCAACCCACTCATTTTACAGATGAGAAGAGGAAAAGGCCCAGGGAGATTATGCGACTTGCTAAGAGTCACTATCAGAGGAATTATTTGAATCCAGGTTCTCTGACTCCAGAACTAGTGATCCTTCTACTGTACCAGATACTCCTGACTTACTGGTATCTGTATTCAGTGTAAATTAAGCTCCCGCTGCCCTGGCTTCCAAAGTGGAATCCTTGTGGACAAGGAATTTTGTTTTTAACGTTACATCCCCAGGCTCTCAAGTAGTGTTTGCCAAATTATGTCGAAAAAACACCACAAGAAACTCAAGAAAGTCAAATATTGTTCAACAAACTGGGATTCTCTCCTATAGTTTACGAGAACCCTGGGTCAATAAGCTTATTCTATCTACTTGCAGGACTGCGCTCATTAGAAATAAATGGCCCCAGGAGGAATATGACAAATGTAGGTGATGTAAAAGCAAAAGATATCTTTTTTTAAAAGAATAACAAAAAGGATAACAGTCTTGCTTACCATTTCAAGTTACCATGATGTGGCCCAACAAAGAAAGATCACAGAATTTAAAGCGGGGGGGGGGGGGGGGGGGACGGGGACTTAACAATATCTAGTCTAGGTGGAGCTAAGATGGTGGGTGGACTAGAAGGAAAAAGTATAGTGAGCTCCACTTCTCACCCTAACCTAAAAAAAAAACAACAAACCCAAAACCCACCCCCAAAAAGTTCTAGAAAATGCAACAAACTGTATTCTTATTAGAAAATACAAGCAAAAAACCACACTGAGTTATTTTTCCAGCCCAGGAACTTCGAACCTTTGTTTCCTCTATTGCTATCATGACTTTACCAGGGAACTACAACTACAGAAAAACAATTTTCAGTCTTTTTTTCTTCTTTTAGTTTTATAGAATCAGATTTTTTTTCCTTCTTTTTAAAAATCAAGTAATTTTTAGTTTTCAACATTCGCTTTTGTAAGATTTTGAATTCTAACCCTCCCCCCAAGACGGCATGTAATCTGATATAGGCTATACGTGTACAATCATCTTAAACATATTTCCACATTAGTCATGTTGTGAAGGAAGAATCAGGGAAAAGGGAAAAACTACAAGAAACAAAAGAACAAAAAACAAACAGAAAAGAGAAAGTAATATGTTTCCATCTGCTTCCAGACTCTGTAGTTCTTTCTCTGGATGTGGATAGTATTGAAAGTCTTTCTTTTCTTTTCTTTTCTTTTTTTAAAGAAGACTTTTTAAAGCTCTTGCAACGACAAAAGAACAATCCTAACTCTGGAGAGCTGCTGATGAAGCAACAGCTTCATCTTGTCCCTTGACAGAGCAATAATGGATGCTAGCTGCGGACTGCCAGAGGAAATATTATCCAGGTGCCTGGCACACAGTAAGCGCTTAATAAATGTTTATTGGCTGATGCTCCCCACTTTCTGAGCCTGGGCTCTGGTTTCACAATGGGACATATATTTTTGGACATGGCAATGTGGGAATGTTTTGCTTAACTAATACATATTTTTTATAAGAATGTTTTCCCCTTTTTGGGGGGACGGGAGGGAAAAGAGAAAAAATAATGCTTAATTAAAAAAAAAAAGGGCGGGGGGTACATGTAAGGGTCATCGGAGCTTAGTACTGGAGGTCAGCTTAGTGCCCCTGTCTAGCTGTCCAAGGAGCGAAGGAGTGGCTCTTCCCCTCCTGGACACGCCTAGACACGCCTTGTTGGGGCTGAAGACGTGCGAGAGTGCGTGCTGGGGAAGCAGGGGAAGTCTCTTTGCCGATCCCCGTTTGGGAGAGCAGTGGTACTTACCCGCGGGGTCTCTTACGGCCTCGTCCATGATTGACCAGCAGCCTGGGCTCGTCTGGCCCTGGGAGAGATGGCAGGGCGGGGAGGGCTTTGGGTCAAAGCAGGACCTGGTGGGGCGTCCCGAGGCTCTCCAAGCCCCTCCTCTCCCGTAAGCCAGCCCCGGCAGCCCTTGGCCTCTACCCCGTCATGCTGCGGGGTTGTACCAGCTCAATTTCTATTCCTCATTCAGCAGTAGGGGCTGAGTTTCGGTTTCTTTTTGAGGGCTGGCCCTGGTGGGATGTCGGTTTTCTGCCTGCGAGACTTTCCACTCCGCCGGAACCAGTCCTGCGATATTCCAGTGCGCCCAGACCACCTGGGCTGGGGGCTTCCAGGGCTCAGGTCCTCCCCACCCTCAACAAGAACTTTTCTTGTTTTGTTTTTTTTTTAATTATCTTTATTTCTGTCTTGCATTTCACATCGTACGGATTCCTCTGCATCCCTTCTCCCTCCCCTTTTCTATCTACTTTTAACAAAGGTTTAAAAAAAAGTTTGGTAAAAAAACGGAAACAAACAAAAAATACCTTTAATAAAACATCCGCACCAGTATCATTTTTCATTCCTGCCGTAAGGGCAGTGTGGTGCAGTGGAAGCACACTGTACTTGGGAGGAGCTGGGGCTTCTGGTTCAAACGCCTCTCCTGTTGCAGAGACCACGGGAAAGCACTTTCTATCTCTGAGCTTCAGTTTTCTCATCTCTCAAACAGATAAGGAACGAGATGACCTCTACTGCCACACCCCCACTCGCCTTGATTCAAACTCACGGTCCTTTGCTTCCTCTTGGTGAACTGGTGTGCTTGGAGTGATAATCTCCCCAGCCCAAACCGGACCTCTGGGGGCAGTGTTTGGGGGGAAGCGACTCCATGTTCATCCTAAGCAAAACTGATCAGTCATGAGTCCATCTGTCAATTGGTAACAAGTTATTTATTGAGCACCCATGGGGTGCACACACAGCACCATACAGTTTATGTGTGGGGGTACACAGTGAGGATTAGACACCATCCCTGCCCTCAAAGAGCTTACAGCATAATAGAACAGATGAGACAAAACGTAATTAACAAAATATGTCCAAATTATAGAAATATCTTTTTTAAAAGTTGATCCCAAAGTCAGGGATTAAGGGTGGTTTATACCAAGGCTGGGATCTCAAATATTGCCTCATTAGCTGTACAACCCTGGGCAAGTCACTTGACTTCTCAGCCTCAGTATCCTCATCTGGAAAATGAGGCTAATAACAGCCGAATCACTTACCTTACAGAGTCGACGTGAAAATCAAATGAAATAATGCATGTAAAGTGCTTTGCAAACCTTAAAGCATTACATAAATGTCAGCTGTTACAATTTTTTAAAAGCAGGATCAATCAGAAGAAAGCTTGGGCAGATGTGCCTTAAGCTTCAGTTTTAAAGAAAGAAGTGCATGCATAAAGGTAATCTGGGCAAAGTCTTGGAGAGGGGAAGGAAGATTAGTGTATTTGAAGCAAATGCTACAGGCTTTAATATATACTGGAGGATGAATAGGGAGCTAAGACTGGGGTTTGTCTTTTTAATGAAAAAGGCTTGGAACAGTCACTTGACTGATACTGGTCATTTAGCCCCTCTGCTCAAAAATCTTCAATAGCTGCCTTCTGACTCCTGAGTAAAGTTTAAGCTTCTCTGCCCAGCATTTGAGGCCCTCCATAAACGTTCTCTTTTGGACTTCTATCACCCTTCTCCAGTCTGCACTCTAGTCAAACTAGGCAACTGTATTACCCCAAACACATATTCCTCTGATGCCATGCTACTGCTCAGGCCATGGCTTGGAATGACCTTTCTCTTTATGGAATCCTTACCATTCCTTTAAAGCCCAACTGAAATGGAGCCTCTTTCAAGAATCCCTTTGCAATATCCCTCCCTTTCTCCAGGCATGACTTCCTCCCCACAGATGTCTGAGGGAAGTGTGTGAATCTTACCTAAATTATGCCTTCCCCAGTATGCAGCTCAACTGGAAACAGGCAGATTCTAATCAACCTTTGTTTTATTGTAATGTACTAAGGGAAACGTGAAGCTTTTTGATGGGTTCAGAAGGGAAGGAAGTTGTGCAAAGAAGGTGGTTCAAAGGCCCTCAACCAGGCAAGAGTTTATTATTAAATTCCCAGTTGATGAAAATACAGAGCAGTAACAGAAACATTTCCTTACAAGTATCCTAGAATTCAAGCTGAGCTTCTACACAGTCAGAATTAGTGAGGTCTTACTTTACTTTTCTTCTATCATATGGTTTCCATTTCTCCTACAAATAAAGCTTTATGTCATGTCCAGATAGATCTGTCATATATTAAGTTATAAGGGCCAGGACGATGTGAAGTTTGGCACCTGTGCGGCATGAGCCAAAAACAAATATTCCTAAGAAACAGGAATAAGAGACAGAAGAATCCTTCTGTGACACATGCTTCCGTAAATATATTCATATTAAAAACAATGAATCAATTTTATGTTAATATTCCTACCATACAAAACCATTACTTCCACCCTACTTATTCAAAAGCTGAATGGAAGTAAAGAGTCTATCTCTATATCTATTTGTCCACTTTCTGCTGTGTTTCTAGGTTATTTTTACTGCAGGATTCCTAAATTATGCTTAAGAAATGAGAAAAAAAATCTTAACTCCCCCCCCCCAGAGCCCTACTCAGAGCAGAATTCTTAAGACAATTTTCTTGATGGTACATGCACTATTAATTAGGGGGTATTTTGTATAGTTCTTTCCTTAACTTGTACTAAATGACATTAGCATACACAAAACGCTTGTTCATAATATTCTTTTTCTACAAGTGTGAAAGCCACATTGACAAGGAATCTCTTTCTCAGGTATACTTCCAGCTTCATAACCATAATCCCAAGTGAGTTCTGTTCCTGCCTTCACATGCCTAAAAAGCAACAAACAAACAAATAAATAAATAAACAAAGAAACAAGTATACACGCCCCCCCACCCACAATGAACAGCAGTCATACACATAGAATTCTGTTTCATATTATTCAACGATTTAACAAATGTAACTTTTTGTGTAAGATATTGTGCTAATGTTAGTGATATGAACAGAAAAATGACAGTTCTTGCCCTCAAGATGCTTACCATTTATCATCAGGGAAATGCTCTATATAAATCATTATGTAGAGGTACACATATCCCATTAACCCCTTTCACAACTATTTCCCATATGCTTTCTTGTTTAAAATAGTCTGTTAGGAAGACCAGTTACTTTCTAATTGAAAAAAATTTTAAATCAATAAAAAAAATCAGTTGTGACATAACTCATAATTAGTTGAATAGAGGTTTTGAGGAATGAAGACCTGGATAAGTAGCCAAAGCATGCAGATCAGGAAAGGCCTATTGTTACATGACACCTTTTTACTTCTATAACATGTAACTTTCTGGGCTACATTTTATTTGAACCAGGTGGTCATACTTCGGACCCGGGACAGCAACAGAACCAATATGTCAATAATTCAGAATTGCATTGAATAGGAATAATGTTAGGTAATAAAAAACAGACAGAGGGGCCAAGTATACCTTTGTTCTAAGGACATAAAGAACCTGTCATTTTTTTGTTGTTGTTTTAAGGTCTTGCCTTTTATATTTTCCTCCTACATAAGCAAAATTAAATTCAAACCTTTTTGTAAAGAATGCCACCCATGGAAAATTTCTGTCATGTGTCTCCACAAAAACATTCTGCACGAAGAAATATGGGTTATAAATAAAATGTTGAAAAAAAAAAAAAAAAAAAAAAAAAAAGATCTGAAATATAATACAGATTAAAAAGAATCAGAAGGCTCAAAGGTTTTTTCTTTAAAAGCACCAGAACATAATTTGATTTTCAAAGTTTATTCCTTTCTTTCTTTCTTCTTTCTTTTACTGAGGACCAAGTGTTCAGATTTCATTAGTTTCTGTTGATGGTTTAGTTATTTCAGATGGAAAAGTTATTTTCTTTGGAAAATACATTCCCATTTTGTCCTTCCCATGAACCTAAGGAGCCCAGAGCAACCCTATGGCAAATAAGGATAGGAGTCCTAGGTGTCCCTCACACATGCTAATGCATATCACTGGGGAACGGGCAGGATGGAAGGCCCGTTCTTGTTCCTTTGCAAGCATCCTGGCTCTGGGCTGTCTCAATGCGAAGCATACATAAGGCTACTTGGCTGCTGGGAGAAGTACAAAATTTTTTGCTTAGATCATGCAAGTTATAATTTCCCTAGAATTTAGTCAACCTGAAACATAACAGCTGGGTAGCAAAATCACAGAATTACACAGCCTGATGCCTACCAAGGCCACGCCTTGAGGGACAGCATGGTATAATGGAAAAAGAGTCAGATTTGGTGTGAAGGAACCTTGCGTTTAAATCCCACCTTTAACATTTACTATGGCATCTCACTGCACAAGTCATTTACCCTCCCTCAGCTTCAATTTCCTTTTCTATGAAATGGGGATAATAAGGTATCTCCCTCACAGAGTAGTTTGTTGTGAAGGTCAAAGGAGATACTGGATGTAAAGTGGTTTGCAAAACCTACAGTACTACGTAAATGCCAGCTATTATTATGATGATGATGCTGAGGGGGGAGGGTGGGTAGGAAGATTCCACCCTCATCTTACTAAGTGTCCTGATCATGGCAGGTAGAATTGAACTTGGCAAATACATTCATTCCTTTCACATTGAAGGGAAAAGCTCAATTTGTGCATTTTTGTAAAATTATTCTGCATATATAATCCAAGGCAGATAAAGCTGACATTTGAAACCAATGTGACAAACTCATCTAGACGACTTCAAAAGGGGAAATTCCACTAGGAACAAAAGGATCCTCTAGTCCAGGGGTCAGCAAAACTACAGCCTGAAGGCCCACTGGCCACAAGTTAAGAATGAGTTTTACATTTAAACGTAATAAAACTTTATTTTAAAATATAAGAACCACTCTTAGCTCATTGGTCACACAAAAACAGATGAAAGGTCCTTGTCCTTCACTCCACCAATGCTAAGGGATATAGTTTCGTGACAAATGTATCTCTACATCACAGGGTAGCTAGGAGGAAAGTATTTGTAAACTGTAAAGTACTACATAACCACTGACCCTAAAGACCACCTCTCCCTCAAAAAAATACCAAAAACTGTGATCCTGGGCAAGTGACTTAACTCCTCTGCACCTCAGTTTTCTCATCTGTTAAATGGTTACTGATGTCATAGGGTTGTTGTGAAGAAAACATTTTGTAAACCTTAAAGTGGCATATAAATAAGAGCTATTTTTATTATGACAATGAGGAGGAATCTTACCCACAGCACAGCTATAGACATAATTCAAACGGAAGTTAGGATAAATAGGAAATCACACAACTCAGTCCTTCCCCTAGCCCCATGTAAGCCATATTCCTTAATAAACTCAGCAGGTTTTACATTATGTTATAATGAATAGCACTTCAGAGAGAAAACCACCCACTGTTCCTGCCTAGATGAGTCTAATATTGAAATTCTTTTTGTGAGTAACTTCAATCCTGTGAAATCTTTCAGTAATCTCTGAGAGAACCTTCCTACACCCCTTCTCTAAATTAAATATTTTTTCCTCTGATCTTATTAAAAAAAATCCAAAAGCACAAGTCAGCTTTGTGTTGATGCCGTTTGTTAGGAACCATAGCTCAAAGCACTGAAAGGAACTCAGGACCATCAGGTTCAGGCCAGAGCTGAACCAGAGTCCCCTCTACAGCCCATGTGACAAGAGGCCGTCCAAGCCAGCCAGAGGAGCCAGCCCACACCTCACGTCAGTGTGTATACTTACATTCAGGAAGCGACCCACGTTTCCTTCTTTAGTAGCATCCAACAGGTAAATGCCATCTTGGTGAAGATTCTTCATCGACTCAGAAACATCGATGTGGGTTTCAGACAGTGACTCTTCATCACAAAGGATTTCTTGATTTTGCTTCTCCAGCATTCTTTCCTCTTGGGAGCCTTGCTCCTGAACCTCACATTCCTTTCTCCCACTCATATCACACACTGAGGCCGCCTGATCACACATGTTTTCTACTAGACTTTCTTCTTTACCATGATGGTTATCCAGCACGATACAGTTGGTCAGCAGCTTCTCTTTGGAATTTTCACCAGGGCAGCTTGACTCCCCTAAGAGAAATGTCAGAACTTTTAAGGTTCGGCTGAAGGACAGCACTGGCATGAATACTGTAATCACAAAACTACAGACATCCTTGGTTATGGTCTCAAATTCATCTCCCCAGAAAATTGCTCTTTTTTCTTCAAATGTGGAATTAGCTTCTGGCATGTATGCACGGCATTCTTTAATAGCTGCAGCAATTCAATTTAATTTTTAAAACATTTAAGTGCCTACTAAATACTAGGCATTGGTGGTACACAGACAAAAATGAACCATTCCCTGCCCTCAAGGAGTTTTCATTCTATTGGGGAGGGACACACCACATAGTTTTGGAAGCAGCTGTTTGTGTGTAATGCTGCAGGCTTCCAAACAGCCCCTAAGATAAGCACTGTGAGGCAGGAGAAAACTAACAGGCTGGCTGCTCATGGCAGCAACACTTGCACTTTGTATGGCTTATGTGATTATTCCTCTTCCAATGCCTCATGATGATGTATTGGTGACCCTGGGATCCTTGATACTAAGCCAAGAAAGTGTGAGTTCTGCTAGGTTTTACCAAGCCAGCAAAACCTCCAAGCACAGGCCAGGTGACGGATGGACTGTGTGTGAGTCAACCGAAGACCAAACTGATGAAGGTCTGAGAGACCACCCCCACTAGTCAGACAGCAACTATCTATTCTGGCATAGCACCTTGAAAAGATCATCTACTGGGCAAAGAGAGGCTGCCGGCAGTTTCAGTGGCCAGATCTATTACTAAGACTGATGAAGCCACATATTTTTACAGTATGTATTATTGTTTTGGGTCTCAGTTGGCAGATTAGTCACTGCTTGTACCTTTTAAAGGAAAATAAAAGTAGTAGTAGGGATGCTACCTCATCCGCCAACCAAAGTAAAACCTTCTATGCAACGTCAGAAGACCTAGGAGAAGGCTTCCAGTGCATGTGGTAGACTCTCTATGTATAGGCATGGACAAGAATCACAGAGGATGACAAGGTGTAGATGGAAGGGAGTGCCCACACTGATGAGATCATGGGTCTACTGAGGAAAAAATTCTTGAGAAGCAGGGAAGCAGAAAAATTAAACATTCTTTTTAGGCAAAGGAGAAGATCTCCTTTGCAACTTAAATGGCATAAAGAGTATTGTTAATTTTTCTCTTTTAAAAAATATCAATTTATCTCTTTAAATTGATCCTTTCTCTTCAGGTATGGTTATGCTTTAATCATGTTGCTGCTGTCTGTTGTTCCTGAATGTATTAATATTTCAATCATGCACTGTCCATGAAGCTCAAGAGCATTCCAAAGAAAAAATCCTGAAAATGTACAACATGAATGAACCTACCAGTGTAATAAGTTAAAAGTCAATTAATGGGCTTAGAAATAATATTTGTCTTTCCAGTACTTTCTCTTTCAACATGCTGTAGCCTCAGAAGCTGTCCTGCCTCCCAAACCAAAGCCCTTAGGAGAAGATAAAGGGGTACAGCAATGACTATTCATCTTAGCAGCGGATTCTCGGGGAATCCTACAGGATGGTGATAACCAGTCTGCTTCCAGTAATGAAAATCAGAGTTTTTCATGTGGCTCCATACAGTAAACTTGATAGGAAGGGATAAATATGGGAGCCAAGTACTTTTGTAATGAATGGTGCCTATTCCAGTTCGAGGTCTGTGACTCTTATCATCCAGGGCTCTCTGGACACAACGAGCAGGGTGTGGCAATGTTTTGGCCTGACACTAGCAAAAGGCTGAGGAGGGGCATGGCTCTCTTAGGAGCACTGCTTACCCTCCAGAACCAGGCTCCCATTCAACTATGGAACCAAAAGTGACTCTTCTATCCCAAGGTTTTCAGGCCCAGGAAAAGAGCTGGAAATGAGCTGCTTTTGCCTGACACTTTTGAAGGTTCCACTGTAAAATTTCTTCTAGCAAACCTGACACTGGAGGACCAGGCCTCATCAGGCATCTGTAGCTACTAGGTTAGTTGTTAACTCCCAGGCTTGATAGCATGTTTGTTACAGTGTCTAAGGGCAATGAAAAAAAAGGGATGGATGACTCAAAGTCAGATTAAAAACAGGCAAGAGATCAGGAGCAAAAGAAAACCCTACTTTTCTTTTCGTTGGTATTGGGGGTTGGTTGGACTTCCGGTGACTGAGTTTCATCCTCCTCTTCTGAGCTTATACCACACTCCAGGGTAACAATTCCCTTAAAAAAAAAAAAAAAGAAAGAAAGAAAGAAAGAAAGAAAAAGGAAGGCTGATACATTTACTTTCCTGGCGAAGGAGAGGCAATTAGCATTTAAAACTTTTCCAAGCGAATTTCATGATTAGTCTTAACCAGATTAGCTTTTCATTTCACCCCCAAGGTGGTAAAGGGGGTGGAATAATTATCTAACCATAGCTAGGAGACATATCAACAAAAATAGCACCTCAGATTTCCTGCCCAACCCTAGGCTGGGTTCTATTTTCCCGTACCGTCTGAGACAGGAGCTACTGATGGCTGTGCAGATGCCAAGAGCCGGTACTATAATGCTTTTAAATAAAGAAAAGACTTCTGTCCACATTCACAATATTCCAGTTATCCTCAGGGGAAAAGTTCTCACCCTTAAGTCACTAGTACAGCATATTTTTCTTTAGCAGTTGGGAACACCAGGGATGACCACTGCTTGCTCCCCTTGCTCCCACTCTGATGAGTCCGGTTAAAGGACTTGCCCGCTCCATTCAGACACTGTACAGACAAATTTAACTTGACATTGTAATGACAACATATGTTTAAAGGAGAGAGCCTGGGACTGATAATATTCTACAAGGTACATTTTCATATACATGGGCACTACAGAAGTTCAAATAAAGTCAAGTCAATAAATATTATATTAAGTGACTGAAATAACCCCTACTGTCTATAAAGAATTTAAATCAAGAAGGGATTACATGATCTATGTAGAGAGAAGGAAAAATCAAGATGCCAAGTGAGGTTCAATTCAATACAATAAGCACCTACTACATGCCAGGCCAGATGTAAAAGACGCAAAGACCAAAACAAAACATTCCCTAAAACTCCCTTGCCTTCAAGGAGTTTACATTGTACTGGGTAGGGGAGGGGAACAAACATTGACAACGGCAACAATCAGGAAAGGCATTGTGGTGGTGGTGGTACCTGAGTTAAAGAGACCTCGAGGTTCCAAAGAGGCAGAGGTGAGGAGAGAGAGCATTCTCGGCATGGGACACAACCTCTATAAATGCCCAGAGGCAGGAGACAGAATCTCCTACATGGGGAAAAGCTAGGAGGTAAGCTTGACTAGAATAGAGACAGCCTAAGGGGGAGTCACATGAAATTATTCTAGACAGCTGGCTCTAGCCAGACTATGCAGGTCTTTAAATGCTAAAGAGAGAGTCCTGGATTTTATCTTACACGCAACAGGGAGCCATTAATACTTCTTAAGCAGGAGAGTGACATGATCAGATTCATGTTTTAGGTCTATCAATTTGGCAGCTGTGTGAAGGACGGGTTGAAAGAGACTGGTTGCTGGGAGACTAATTAGGAAATAAGTATAATGGTGTAGTCAGTAGCTGATGAAAACCTGAACTAGAGTGAAAGCTGTGTGAATGAAGATAAGGAAAAAGATGCACAATAGAAAGATAGAACTGACAGGATGTGGCAACTGACTGGGGGTGGGAGGAGGTCAAACATGATGAGACCTCGGTGGCTGAAAGGATGGTGGTACCTTTGATTAAAAACAGGAAGAGGAGTGAATTGAGGGTAAAACACTGAATTCTGTGTTTAGTGTGAGATGCCTGTGGGGCATCCAGGTGCAGATTTCCAAGAGTAGGTCAATCAATAAGCTACTATGCTAAGCACTGGGGATATAAAGAAAGGCAAAAGAAAGTCCTTGCTCTTTCTCTCTCTTTTTTTGGGGCTAGGCAATGGGTGACTTGCCCAGGGTCACACAGCTAGTAAGTATCAAGTGTCTGAGGTTGGATTTGAACTCAGGTCCTCCTGACTCCAGGGCTGGTGCTCTATCTACCACGCCACCTAACTGCCCTTGTAAAGGAAGGAAGGAAACAAGCATTTATTATGGTTTTTTTTTGGGGGGGGGGTTAGGCAATGGGGTTAAGTGACTTGCCCAGGGTCACACAGCTAATAAGTGTTATGTATCTGAGGCCGGATTTGAACTCAGGTCCTCCTGACTCCAGGACTGGTGCTCTAGCCACTGAGCCACCTAGCTGCCCCAAGAGTCCCTGCTCTTGAGAAGCTCAGTCTAATGGAGGAGACAACATGCAAATAATGACGTACGAATAAGATATACACAGGATACTAGAATTAAGAAGGATTACAGAAAATGAGATTTTAGCTGGGACTTGAAGGAGGCTTGGGAAACCAGGAGATGAGGAAGGAGAACATTCCAGGCACAGGGGACAGGCAGTGAAAATACCCAGAACCAAGAGACGGCATGTCTTGTTTGAGGAACAGCGAGGAGGTCAGTATAACTGAATCAAAAATTACATGGAGGGATGGGAGGTGGGGGTGAGAGCATTGTAACACGTAAGAAGACTGGAAAATTGGTAGTCAGACAGGGAGGAGGAAAACCAGGAAAACAAAGTGTCACAAAAACCTAGAGAGAAAAGAATATCAAGGAGAAGAGGGTCATCAATAGTGTCACAGGCTGAAGAGGGGTCAAGAGGATGAGGACTGAGAAAAGGGCATTGAATTTCTCAGTGAAGAGATTACTAGTAACTTTGGAGAGAGCAGTTTCGGTGGAGTGAGGCTGAAATTCTCCCTTCTTCCACTTTTTCATGGGTCTCCCTAATTTTAGTCCCTCCCTTCTCCAATTCATCCTCCCACAGCTGCCAAATAATCAGAGACGGGTATGATCGTGTCAGTCTTGTTCTCGAAAGTTTCAGTGGCTCCCTATTACCTCTAGGATAAAATAAAACATGTTCAGCTTCTCCCTGAAAGCCCTTTAGTATGCAGCTCTCACCTGGCTTTCCAGACTGAATTCCCATTAGGGCACTTCACATACTGTGTTCCCTTGACAGAGGCTGAGTCCCAAACCTGGAATGGACTCCTCTTTCACAGCTACTTAGAATCCTTCACTTCCCTCCAGGCTCAGCTCAGGCGCCTCCTCCTACGTGAAGCCTTCCCTAACCTGCCCCCCAGCCCCCGCCACGTTAAGTGCTCTCTCCCTCCTGATACTATTTTGCATTCCCTGTCAGTAGGACAGAAACTGCTCGAGGCTGGAGTCTCAGTCTTAGTCTTATTATCTGTCCTTAGGACCTAACACATAGTGCTTTACACAGAATAGGCCTTTAACAAAATGCTTCCATTGCTTTCTGCTCCACCATCTCTTCTCAATGCCTTCCAGGCCTGTGCTTGCAGTCTGCACACAGGCAGGTTTAGTGGCACCTTTGCTCAGTCATGTTCATCATCATCTCTGGGCTGCTATCTGCCTAAAGGAGTAGTTTCACTCTTTGATATGCTTCATGAGGGAGAGATGGACAGGATACTGTGAGGTGGCATATCTGTATTGTGAAATGTACCTCAAAGCCCATAAAACATCCCTCAGTGAGACCCCATCCAAAAGAACTGCTACTTCTTCTAACATCTATAATGGCCCCGATATAAGGAACCTTTCTTCTTTTTCCTCCTTCCTTCACAATCATATCATATACCCTGCACACACTGGGTACTTAATAAATGTGGTCTGCATGTGTCTTGCTCTACTTCTTGTAACTCTATCTCATGAGAGAAATCCCACACACAAATAAAAAACATTTTATGAAATAGTAGGAATGGATAAGGAGAGTTAATGTCATTTCACAGAAGGGACAACTACGTTTTGATAGCCTGCTGCTGCTTTTTATAGTTCTTACCCTTTTTTCCCGAAAGTTTTGAAGAAGGGCTGTTTTAGTTTTAGGTCTTCTAGTGGCTGGTTGATTTTCAATTCTTAGATCATATTCATACTTCTCACCCCTGGGGCAAAGGACACATCATTGTGACTACATACATGACACAAAATCTATACTCTGGCTCTCTCTCCTGGACTGTGAAGTTTCTAGAGGACAGAGGGTATTCATTTCCAAAAATTTAACCAGTAAAGCAAATAATTACTCTTTCTCAGAAATGCATCATTACTGCATATTGTGTGTATGTGTGTGTGTGTGTGTGTGTGTGTGTGTGTGTGTGTGTGTGTGTGTATTCCCTACTGGGGGAAAATACTATAGTCATACCTTAAAACATATAGAAAGGAGGAAAACTCAGAAAATGAAATCTGGGTTAGATGAATCAAAAAAATGAAAAATATTGAGCATCTAAGTAAAAGTAATCAAGACCATAACTCCACAAATGGTGCATCTGAGAGAAATAAAATGCCATTGGAAAGGTCTTTAGAAAACAATACCCTAAGTTTCTCAAAGCATTCTATTTTCAGATTTTCAAGGCAGATGAAATTAAGATACAGGCTTTCGAGGTTGAGGGAAGATGTGAAAGTCTCTTTGATAAGTGATCAGATCCTTCATATGGAAGGATAAGGTCAGAGCTTACTGAATAGATGGATTTGCATCACTGCTGAGCTGAATCAAGTACTCCTCAGTCTCTGTGTCTCCAGGAATTGCTCCTACTTCAATCTGGACAAACTCAATTTCAGGATCAGAATAAAGAATTTCCGTTTTCCTCTTTTTAGAAAGTGCTGGGGATCCGCTGTCGTTGGCAGCAGCGTCCTCCTCCTCTTCTTCCTCTTTTCCACCAACAGAGCCAATTTCTTCCAGGCCAGCTCTGCTTAGTAATCTCCCTGAAAGAAATGACTGAGCTAAGAAAGGGACTCAGAAAATGAGTGCTTAGTAACTAAGGAAAAGCCACTTGGTTTCACTGTGTAAAAATTAGAATAAAAGTATTAATCTGATTCACAAAACTGAAATTTGAACAATGAAGTAAGTTCTGAAATGTACTGGACTTCAACTCAAGGATTCCTGGGTTCAAATCCCATCTCTAACACTTATTAGCTGTGGTAACAGGCAAGCCACAACTTCCAGGCCTAATAAATACTTAGAAATGAGCTCCCTGTGATACTTGCCTCACATGGTTGTTGTGAGGTTCAAATGCTATGATGTGATTTGTATACCTTAGAAAGTTATACAAATGTATGTTATTAAAATTATGATGATTGTTAATATATTTTTACCTATAATAACGTAAGAGAGGATATGCAACTGTAGTAATATCAAAGGTTGGCAAGTCTAGCCTTAAAAGCACAGATTTTAGAATCTTTTAGAATCCAAACTCTTGCTAGAAATATACTTATTTGAATTGGTAGTTCATTTTTTTTCCCCATGTTCTGATCCCAAAATAAAATCCTCCATGAAGATTTACACACACACACACACACACACACACACACATGAACACACACAAACACACACAGAGTTTTGTTTTTTGTTTTACAAGATTAAACACTGATGGATACCACCTACAGAGGTGGCATGATGTCTACAAGGTCATACAGTCGTCGGGTAGAAGAAATACCATTTGAATCTAGGTCTTCTCACTCTAAATCCAGTGACCCTCCATTATATCGCAACATCTCTTCACAACAGAAATTTACAAGTCATTTCTTTATTCCACATCTTCCAAGTGGCCACACCCCCTCACACTTAATTCAGTTGTAGAAAAATAGAACAGCATCCACAGAGATCCACAAAATGACCATAGTATCTAGCCTAGAACCTTGTACATAGCAGATGTTAGAAGAGGTAGACATTGATTTAATTTGAAGCCTAAAAAAAAGAAAAATTGAGGGAAAACTGAAAATTGAAAAGTAGAGTCCACTTTTCAGAACAAAGGTCCAGTTAGCAAACTATCTGCTGTCCTTTATCACTCTTTTTTTTTTTTTTTTTTTTTTTGTGGGAGAGGAACAACAAAAAAAAAACAAAACCAAAACCAAAACAAAACAAAAAAACCTGATGGATACCACATCATGGCTCTTGGCAGGCTTTCCTGGCTGGTCACTAGGTCAGGAAAAAGGGTGAAGATCCACTGCTTATGCTTTGCTCCACTAACACAGAAAACATCAGTAAAACTTCTAGGCCACCATTTAGCTTTTGGACAGCAGCCGAGGTTCTCTGCATCCAAGAACCCTTGAGAGGTAAAAGGCACAAATGCCCATGTGCTGGGAGTGAGGGAGGAGGGGGCAGAGGAATAGAAGGATGTGGAAGGGCAATGTGTGGATAGAGGTTGAGCACTGCTGCTTTTAACTCTGACTCAGGTTTGAACTCCTCTATTCCTCAAAGGGGAATGATTCATAAAATTTAGGGATCTTTAGAGATGTAGGTTATTTTTTTATAGTTATATAGCAAGTGGCAGAGTCAGAACTAGAACTCACGTCCTGTGATGAAAATACCAGGGTTCTTTCCACAACAGCCTGCTATGCCATGTTTCATTTTCTCCAGAAACAGAGTGGAAGACCTGGTCAGTACTGCTCCTGCATTCAGAGTAAAACAAATGCCAAACAACACAAAGACGGGCCAACTTAATTTCATTGTTATACCTAAAGAGCTGCCTTCTCTCACCCCAAATACTTCCTGGAGTTGCTAGTAACAAAGTCAGGAAGATATGGAAACACATTGTATAGGCTCAAGAAATATTTGCCGATTCAGAAAATTGGGCCTTTTTTCATTTTCTCTGTGTCCTTTTTTCTTTAAGGTCAGAACCAGTTTTTACAGCTGTTCTCTTCCCATGCAGAACACCTGAGACGTCCTCTAGTTACTCCTCCTCTCACCTTTAGTTATCAGGTTATAAATCCCTCAAATTGTCTTCATTTCTCTCCTCTTCAATGCTGCTTCCTCTGTTATGAGCACAGTCTCAGTAAATAAAGCAATGTCTTTGAAAGCATCATCAATCATCAATGACTAACTCTACTGCAGACTTCTTTTAACACAAGACTTCATTTTACCTGAGTAAGTGCAAACAAATGTCCCTTTGTCAATGTCATCAAGGCAGCGGACTCCCCAACCTTTCTTCTCAGTTTTGAATACCTGAAGGCGCACCTGGAGACCCTGCTGGACAACTCTGTTCTGACATGTTCTCGGATCACATTTGCACAAGAGGCTGCATTCAAAAATTCTGCCATTGAAAAATGTAACATAAGGAAATTAATCAGATACACCCAAATAAAACATTGATATATAACTAAGAGAAAACATCCAGGTGGGGGGGGGGGGGGGGGGGGAAGCAAATACTGACATCAGCAGTATTTCTATTATTGACAAACAGATGCAGAAGAACTCTGAACACAGAATGCCTGCCCTTTTAGAGCTATGCTTCATTCAGACTGCAGGGGCCTAAGGAGCAGGAAGAGAGCTGGACTGAAATGAAAACTGACCACAAAGGGGAGAGAAGAGGAAAGATGGGTTGAGACCAGGGCAAAAGATCAGGCTCAGAAACCAGAAGCAGGTGTAAGGAGAAAAGTTAGAGAAGTCATGTTATGTCAAAAAGGAAAAGGCATAGCAGAACTTTTTGTGGTAGCAAAGAACTAGCAACAAAGTAGACAAATGTATTTCCGGCATATCATTGTGCTGTAAGAAATGACAAATATGACTGATGCAGAGAAACTCGGAAAGACTTGTATGAACTGAAGAATGAAGGGGCCAGCACCAGGAAAACAATTTATACGAGGTTCACAGTAATGTCACAGAAAACAACTCTGAAAGACCACGGAACATTGGATCCCTGCAGTGACTCATCATGATGACAGAGGCCTACTGATAAAATATCCCACCTATCCCGACTCCCAAACCCTGCCATTTTGGCAGTGATAACTGGATGTGGATGCAGAATGAGACAGTTTTCAAGCACAATCAATGGTCAGATTTGCTTTTCGTGATTATACTTATTAGTTGTAAGAGATGGCGTGCATTGAAAAAAGAGAAAAGTTAGTAGAGAATAAAATAACTTTAAAAAAGAAAGAAAAGAGCATCAATAAAACATTTAAAAATATACAGAAAATTATAAAGTTCAGAAAGGGACATAAATGGTAATTTTATTACTACATTTAATTTAATATGCACTTTAAAAATATTTAACAGAGGTAATTATTTCATATACAATCCTGTTTTTTATTCTTTAAATATAGAAATGCCCATGTTCATTAAATCCATAATAAAAGGCAGGATCTGGACTTGTGATTCCATTGGCATAAGAAACCACTAAGTGAGGAAATTCAGGTCAGTAGTGCCTTTTCTGAAATTTATTGTCTTTAAGAGTTGTCTTGAGCACTGCAGGTTTCAATGACTGGTGAAGGATCACACAGAATGTGTCAAAGGCAGGACCTGAATCCAACTATTCTTGGAATTGAGGCCAGTCCTATATCTGTTACCACATACTATACCTCAAGTTCTTAATGAAAAAGAAAATTTAAAGGTAAATAAGATAAAATAAACAGGGGAGAAGGCTAGGTGCCTTACATGCCATTACAAATAGAGGAGCCATAAGAGGGCTGTCATGAGAATTCCAGACTTCTGTTTACTCTTGATCTCAAGTGATCCAGGTAGCTAAGGTCTTACTCTATTTGCTATATTTAAATTTGCAAATGCTAGTAGAAGATGACCATATTCCCAAAGTTTGGATCTTGTAAATTCTCCATATAAATTTACTAATGAACAAAGAACTTGTAGGTGTGGGCAACTCTTATAGTACAGCAAAATTATTAAGTGCCCACTATAAAGAATGCACTATTAGGTGCTGGCAAGAGTGCCAAAGGTGAAGGAGCTTATAAAATGCAGTAGAGGGATATAAGCCATGTACAAAGATAAGTAAAATGCAAATCAGCATCGACTACATACAGAAAAGAACTATAAGGCAAAAGATCAGAAAAAGGAGAAATCATTTTTAGTTGAAGGAATAAGGAAGGTAGTATGTGGGAAGGGTCTTGAAGGATGGGCACAATGGCAACAAGCATGATGAGTGTTACTGAGGCTAAGTCTCTGACTTTCATTTCAAGGACAAACTTACTGTTTACTTTTTTGTTTTGTTTTGTTTTTTTTTAAAGCAACGGTGTTTCGTACTATTGTCATAGATGGGGGAGATTTTGTTGTACCTCTGAGAATCAATCAAGCACTAAGCACTTACTAAGTACTCACTACTACCAGGCACTCGGGATACAAAGACTGAGATGAGATAGTCTCTGCTCTCAAGATTACACTTTCTTGGGGAAGACAATATGGACATATACGTATATATGAAAATACAAAGTATACACCTGAGAAGACAAACCATGTTATGCCATAAGGAGAAAGAGGAAACCCCTCACCAGCTACAATCCCTCTCAAACAAAACATGAATAGGTCTTACCCGTTGGGTACTGGCTGCTGCAGTCTTTTATAGCTATAGCCATAAGTGGGTTTGACACTTGACCATGCAGAACTCTCATCATAGCCCTTTGCTGTCAGCTGCAGGCATGCACATTTTTCTCTAAAAGTCGGGTGACAGGTGAAGTAAAAATATATAAGCACAAAGTCAGCAAGTGGAAAATGAGAGCAGTGAATTGGGGAGGGGAGAGGAGGAACACGCAGTAAAGGATACAAGCAGAGTTTGAATGTTCATTTGGGGCCATTTCAGCACAACCCATTCCCCCAAAGCCCAGGGTCCTGGTAAAAAGGGAAGGATGTGATTCCATTTCATGTGTATCATTCCAAGACTTTATTCTGCTTCTACCCCCTCACTTTGGCAGCTTAAGTTTCCTGAAATTTTCAAATATGTTCTAACCATCCTCTCTTGAACGGGAAAGGTCTGGAATCTCTCTTGTGCTTTTTGATATCAAAGCTTCCGCTTGCCAGGATGGAGGTGTTACTTCCCCTAGAGATTAGGTACCTCTTATCAAATCTAAGCATGACACACAACCACCGGAAAAACAAAGTAGTACTATACCAACCCTTCCAGAACTTCTACAAATTTTCCTGATGAAAGTTCCATGGTACTCAAAATTGTTACCTACTACCCCTTTGAACCTATATATTCCCTATAGATTAGGCCATTATCTTCTCTAAGTGCCCAAATGAAAATATGGCTCAGATCTCTTGGCCCTGATGAGTCCATATGTTTTTGCTGGAAAAATAAGACTTTTATACATGCCTGCAAGAATCTTCACTAGCACATGGAAAGACTGGGCAAACAACGCCTTGGCATCCAGCCATCAAAATCTCTTTTTCCTGACCTAAGAGGCTAGGCAAGGTTTGATTATCAGGCAATCAAAAAATTATAATCAGTATAGAAATGTTGGTGTATATGAAGGTAGGTAGATATTATCAAGAGTATTAGATAGAAAATCAAACAGATTCTAGTTCCAAATTTGCCAATAACTCATTCAGTGACTTTTAGCAAGGTAATTTAAGCTCTCTGGACCTTGGTTTCCTCATTTGCAAAATGAGGAATCACAGAACCACAGTCATTTATCTATCCAATCTCTACCCAAAGACCAAATCCTATTTATACTATCCCTGACAAATGGTAATCCAGCCTCCATTTATACATATACAACAACAAACAGACTTACTCTTCCTCAAGACATCTTATTCTAGTTTTAGACAGCTACAGTTGTTAATAATTTTCTTCCTTATGTTTAGCTGAAATCCATTTTCCTATAATTTTGATTCACTGGTCTTAGTTCTGCCCTTCAGGGTAAAACAGAACAAGTCTAATCTGTTTTCCACATGACAACCTTCAACATACTAGAAGATAGTTCTCCTTCTTCCCCCTTACTCTCTTATCTTCTCCATATTAAACATCTCCAGTTCTTTCTGCTGATCGTTCTATGGTATGATTTCAAGTCCTTTCATCATTCAGGTTCCTTTCTTTCCCTTGATATACTCTAGCTTGTCAATGTCCTTTCTAAAATACGGTGCCCAGGACCGGATGCGACACTGAAGACTGGTCTAACCCGAGAATTCTCCTTTGCTCTGGAGACAATGCTTCTGTTAACCTAAAACTGCATTAACTTTTTTAGCTACTACATGATAATGCTGACCCATACTGAGTGTGTAGCTCACAAATTCCTAGGTTTTTTTTTTCACATGAATCAGGCAATTAAGTGATATAGTGGAGAGAGTGCTAGATTTAGAGCACAAAGATCTGAATTCAGGTCCTGCCTCCTGTTCTAAGTCTATAATCCTCTGACTTTGTAGCCATGTTTCCCTCATCCTGTATGGTTGATTTAAAAAAAAACCCAAAGTACAAGATTTTAAATTTAGTTTTTATGAAAGTTCATCTTATTAGTTAATCATTCAGTCATGCCAAAGCACCATGGCACAATAGAAAAAGCAGGAGAATCAGAGACCAAAGATCTGAGTTCAAGTTCTAGTCCTATCACATAAGACATGACACAAAGAAAGTCATTTAACCTCCTTGACACTCAGATTATTTATCTGTTAAAAACTGGGCAGTGAATGATACTGTATGATTGATATATATGATACAATATATGTATATTGTAATGATACTGTATTACATATCTGAAAGGGTCGTCATGAGGAAAGCACGTTAAATTTATGAAGTGGTATATAAATAGTATCTTTTAAAAGTTACTTGGATCATATTTCTTTCATCCAAGCTATAAACTATCCCTCCCAGCTTCAAGGTATGCATAAATTCAATAAGCAAACTATGTATGCCTTCATCGAAGTCACTGATGAAAATGTCCACCAGAACAGGGTCAAGCCCAGTCAGACCCCTAGCACGCAGCTCAATGCTTACCTCTCCACAATAATATCCATCAGAATTCTTTGGGTCTGGTCAGTCACAACTAGGTCCCTAATTGTAGTCCACATCTCTTCATCACGTCCACAAGGACATCATAAGAGATTTGGCTAAATATGTTCCTGAAAGCCAAGTATATGATGTCCATGACATTCCTTTAATCTACTAACCTAGTAAACACAGACGAGATTGGACTAGAAAATCTCTAGCTAAAAAGTCACTCCAACCTGAGGCTCTATTGCTGACATATCTTTAAACAGGTAAGAACAGTTTATACACCTACTGAGAATATGTTTTCTTTGTTTTACATAAGCATTTGCACCTTTGTTTAAATATTTTGTGCCATTATTAAAACTAAAGCACTATTAAATGCCAATATATTTTCACATAACTTGTATTTCAAAGTGAGGATCAGGGTTCTTCAGCACTTTGATGTACTGACCCCTATATACGGCAAAGACACTTACTTAAACTTACTAGTAATTATCCTTTCCAACAGAAGCAGAAAAAGCACTTCAATTCATGAACTTCCCAGTTATTCTCCCCTGTTGTGGACATTAACATCTTTAGACTTAGTGTAGGTTACAGATAATGTCCAAAATATGCTAATATTTGACATTACTCTGAACAATTATATAACTGTTGAGAATATTAGTTCTAACCTTTGAGTATAACTATAAGGTGATTAGATCAAATTCATAAGCCATATATAATAATGTTATGTATAGTTGCAGATACACGAATAGATATCTTTAGGTCAAAATTTACTCCTCAAAGTACTTTTTTGTAACATGTTTCCCAATTTTATATTATTCTGTTCCTGTGGTCAGAAGCTTAAGAGCTTCATGTCACAACTATACATTTCCCATGTAAAAACAAATAAATAGAAAAAAAAAACCAAAAAAAACTAAACCAAAATGGACAAATCAACCATTTAAAAATGCTTTGAAAATATCGAATAATTTGTGATACTAAATGAAGGGAAATCCCACTAAAATTTAGTCAAATTGAAGCACATCCTTGCATGAGACAGTTGGAAACCATGGTACTATTTGGTCAACAAGGTTCTTTCCCTTTATCAATCAACAGAAGGCATCTTTGCATCTCAGGCCATCCAATAGGCCATGTGGCTCCCCAGCAGGAACTCGCCTGGGAAAAGGCCTTAGGGATCCTGATTAAAATGCCTATTTTTCTACTCACATATCCATGCAGCCTTTTGAGCAGTCACATGAATTACTAAACATGCCAGAGAAATTGTTGAGGTAGTAAGCACGTGGCCACGTCCGCCTCCGGTACTTGAAGTGTGGCAGTCTTCTGTTATCGATTTCGTTACAGAAAGTAACAGGCACAGATTCGGTTCCGTGGCTAATATCAGAGTCAGAAACAAAAACTTCTTTCTTCCGCATATTCCTGTTCAACTGCACATAGGTATTGAAAGAAAAATGATGTAAAAATAAAAAGCTACACTCTGTCTCAAGCAGGTAACGGTGGACTTCCTTAAAGTTCCTCAAACTCCTTCCACAAGGGGTTTTATAATTCACATGGAATGCAGCACAATTAGAGTTTGTCTTTGCATGTCGCCTTTGGAAACTACTCAAGATGGGGATCATAAGTGGGTTTTCCACTTTGGAGGTGAGAGGTATGTTCGACAGACATGTATCACAGCAGATATGATTCTGATAAGACAGACGCAAAGATAGTATTTTCTCTTCATAATCTGAAACTTCATTTTCCAAAGTTAGAACTGCTATATCCTCTACGGTTCTGTTAAAAATGACAGAAGAATGATTAGTGACACAAATTTGTAGGGATATACCTTTAAAAAGAAAACATACATCATAGGGGTAGCTGGTGATCTATCATACTCTGCCACTGTCACCACAAACCTAAGTGAGAACCTGAAATAACCATATTTTGTTGCATTCTGGTCCCATATAGTTGTTCCTAACTTCAGATTATAAATCTCCAGCAGTCCAGAACCATACCTGGAACTTCTAAGTTCATGACTATGCATTAAGTTTATTACAGCTACTCATCAAATTCCCAGCTGAGTCAGTATCTATAAGCTCACAGAACACTACTGATTCAGTGAAAAGCAGTCAGACTAGCTGTTTTTCACTAGTATTCCAGTTGACTGGACTTTTCCATTTTCTCTTCAGTTATTACCACTACTAATAGCATATTAAGGTTTTGCAAAGAGTTTCATATTAATTATTCCTTGTAACAGTCCTGTGAGGTTGTTACTATTATCACCCCCATTTTACAGCTGAGAAAACTGAGGCTTAGCGAGGTTAAGTGGCTCACTAAGGGATCACAGAGTTAGTCTGAGGCAAAATTCGAACCTAGGCCTTCCTGATTCTAAGCCCACTATTATCTACTACGCCACCTTGTCTATCTATTGTTGGAATACTGTAGACCCAGCTGAAGATGGTGAAAGGGCAATAACAAAGGAATGAACACAATAGTTCCAAATAAGGAATGGGACTGGCACTTAAAGCGTTATATTATCATAAAAGCCTATAGCTTTTCTTATGTTTTTAGTTCTGTCTCTCTTCATTGTAAGAGACCTAATATTGTAATTCTGCAAGCATTACAGACTGGGGACCTCTAGGAAAATGGCAGACTAGATCTAGTGAACCAGCTCACTTCTTCCTGCCTCCCATCTCTAGGAACACTAAAGAGACACAGAGAGGGGGCAGCTAGGTGGCGCAGTGGATAAAAAAACTCAGGAGGACCTGAGTTCAAATCCAGCCTCAGTCACATAATACTTACTAGCTGTGTGACCCTGGGCAAGTCACTTAACTCCATTGCCTAGCCCAAGGGAAAAAAAAAGAGAGACACACACACACACACACACAGAGGCACACTGACAGACACATGGACAAAGATGCTCAGATACAAGAGTGAAGACACTCAAAGAAAACCAAAACTAATGATAAAAGCTCAGAGTGGAGTAGTAGCTGTTTTTACTGCTGTTATAACTACTCCCAGCAGTGCTTCTCCAGGAAGGAATGCAGAAGGCTGGAAGAGCACAAAGACAGTCAGAGATGTTGCTGTTTGCTCTTGGACAAGCCCTGGCAAGACAAAGGCATCTGACCTGCCTCTGCAGCTGCTGCTCCCACAGCAGGCCCTCCACCAGCAAAATCTCTAAGGCCTAGGAGTAGAGAGAGACCTCTATGGCACCTGACATGGTCCATCCCCATCTGCTCCTAAATACTCTCTCCTCCGAGTTATTCTGGCATGGCTCCCTCCTGGCTCTTCTCCTGTCTCCGCCGCTGATTCTTCATCCACGTCACCCACATTAAACGGAGGGCCCTGTGAGGTTCGGCCTGGGGCCCCCTTCTGTTTTTGCTCTGTCCTGTCTCACTTGCCGATCTCTTGGTTCCAAGATCTATACATCCAGTCCTAGTCTCTCTGCTGAGCTACAGTCACACATTTCCAACAGCCTCTTGGACATCTTGAATTAGATGTCCTCATACAGATCTCAAACTCAAAATGTCCAAAACAAAACTCATTATCTTGTCCTCCAAACCTCTTTACTTCCAAACTCTGCTCTTAGTATGGAGGACAGCCCCATTCTTTTCCAGTCAGCATTATCATTACATTCTCTCTCCTCTCCCTCTCCTATACCTCCCCTTCTCCCCACTCATACAGCCACAACTTTAGTTCAGGCCCTCATCACCTTTCACCGGAACTACCAACAGCCCACTGACTAGGCTCCCTGCCTGAGTGTGCCTCCAATCCCTCCTGGCTCATGTACCAACGCGTAGGTCTGACCACGTCACTCTCCAGCACAATGGGAACCACAGTGGCTTTAGGGCCTCCTAGGTCCAACATCAACCACTCCGCTTGGCCTTGAAACAACAGCTGATGTTTCAAACCTAGTTTCTTTGGCCTCTTTTCCAACGTCATTATTTGTGTGCCTACCTTTTTAAACTGGTATTTTCTTAGGTTTGCATTTATTTTCCAAGAGTTCACACAGTATTAACAATTCTAAAGTGCAGCTTCTCATGGCAGGGCCAAAGGAAGAATTTAGAAGATAGGCCATACACTGGTCCTGCACAAGTCTACTGCCTTTCATAAGGGGAAAAGGTTAAAGCAAAGGTTCACAGATTTAGAGTTTAAAAAGATAACAGAAGGGATCTAGTCCAACATTCTTACTTTACAGATGAGCAAACTGAGGCCCAGAGAGATTAAGTGACTTGCCTGACATCATAAAAATTGGAAACATCAGAGGTGAGACTCATCTCAGGTTCCCTGACTCCTAAAGTCAGTGGTCTTTCTATTTACCATGTCAAGAAAAGGTGAAAAAACAAAAATAAAATGACAAAAAAAACAAGGTAAGATAATTAAATCAAAGTTAAATTCCAGATATTTGTACAGATGCTCTGTAACATTAAAAGACCAAGAAACAAAATTTATAAAAACAACAACATTTACACAGTGCTTTAAAGATTTCATAGAGTTTTACAAATATTAGTCTTATTTGATCCTCACAATAACCCCTGGGAGGTAGGTGCTATTTTCATTTTACAGATGACGAAACTGAGGCAGATACTGGTTAAGTGACTTGCCCAAGGTCACACAGCTACTACGTGTACAAGGCTGGATTTGAATTCAGACCCTTCTGACACCAGGCCCAGCACTATTCACAGAGCCACTTAGCTGGCAGAAATATAAAACTGCAGGATCGATCTGTATCAAAAGTGATAGAAGAAATACCAGAAAATAAAACAAACTAGATAGCAAAGGGGATTTTTTTTTCCACAAAAAAAAACAACAACAAAAATCCCCAAAGTATCACATCACAAATGAAAGAACTCAGAGGACTACAGCATGAAGAAATTAAAAATTCAAGCCTTCAAACATATAACTGTCAGAATTCAAAACTGTAAACATGAAGAATGAATTCTTAAGAGTCAATAAAGAAAAAACAGAAAGTAACAAAGGGCTGATAAGAATTTTCCTTTTTTTTTTTTTTAAATCTTTAACTCCAGTGGACAGAGCACAGCGTGAACAAGGGAGAACAACCCAAGGGCTAAAACATTGTGTAGATAAATTAATATTACTGTGTGTTATGGCCACACACTTTAATCCTTATATACTAAAAGGATAGAGACATATAAACATATCTCCACTTCCGCAACTATAGTGTTGGATTAGTAGCATCATCGTTGTGAGATGGTTTAAAATATGTGATAACATAGGGGAAAAATGGAAAATAGGAAAAAAAAACCCAGGAGGATAAAATCTTATTTCCCCTTGAATAACTTCCCACCTAGTACTGCACCTATTGCGTGACGCCAAGTCTTTGTTTTAGCCTCACTTTATTCTTTCTGATTCTGGACGATCTTTACAATTCGTGTCTCCTAAAGTCACTTGGGCCTTTCAGGCTTACTGCACGATCCATCTGGAGCTTCCTTCCTCCCACAAAGGTAAGCGAAGCTCTTTCCCACCATTTTCTTCTGCTATCACAAAACCTTTCCCCATGCACTGAAGCCTCAGCACACCCTCTGTCCATCTGGGATCTTTCCCTTTGTTCTGTTTCACTCAGTACACACTTGTCCCTCCACACTCAGCTCTCTGAAGCTTTGCGTGACTTGTTCTTTTTTTTGGCTCCGGCTACGCATTGTCAAGTGACCTGCACAGCTGGGGCGCTGGGTAAATAATAAATGGGGTGTTTCATTTCCCTTTTTATTCTGCCTGGACACAACAACTTATGTTTCAAAAGTAGTTTCTCTGGCATCTCTTCCAGTATCATTATTTGTCTCCTCTGTCCTAGTCTGTATTTTCTTAGGTTTTGATTTGTTTTTCAAGAGGGCGAGGGAACGGGGTATTAACACTGCTGAAATGCAGCTTTTCAGCTCTGGGGCAAAGGATGACTTTCAAGGGAACATTAGGGAAAGAAGGAATTCTGATAGCCTTTGTTTCCAAACTTTCCAAAAATTATCTGGAAGCTACTCATTGCCTGAACAGTTTTAAGTTCAAAATTACTCCAGTTTAAGTATCTTAACATTTGGGTGAAAGTGAAATCTACTTATCAGGAAATTAGAATATCAAAGATTTATACTAACGGTTGCCTACCTATCTTAACTTACTAATGTTGTCTTTCAAATGAAAAGGGAACAATATAGAACACTGGAAAGGAGACAGGCAGAAAAATATGGAAACCCCATTAAAAATTACAATTTCAATTATGTCACTGGCATATACTATTAACCTATAAGGTAAGCTCTTTCCAAAGCTTCTCCTTTTTTGGGTTTTACTCCAGATCATGTTAATATCTATTGCAACCCACCTCTGTCATTCTCCATCCTTTCTCAAGCTCAGTGGTCTTCTTGTCCAGCCTACTCCCTTCACTCACATTGGAGGGGCATTACTGAGCATTAAATATTGGTGTTTCTCAGTTCACTGACTTCCTTAACTGCCATGATCCACACCTTCACTGTGTCTCAGCTACAAATGGCAACAGGTACATACTTGATCTTATAACTCTAAAAATCTTCCACTGACCATAATCTCCTATCCTTCCATCTGTTTTACTCTTCCTAAACCTAGTCATCTTCACTGAAGCCTCTACTCACTCCACCCTCCTTGCTCTCCCAGTCCATCATACCCTCATCTGGACTCACTTTCCTCAACTAAAAATTTTGGTCCTATAATCCTTTACACTGTTCTCTACCCTCAAATACCCTGCCTCCTTGTCTTGTTGTTGTTCATTCTGTTCTTAACCCTGCTATTATCCCCATCATCTGCCCTTTCTA